CAGGTTCGTCGCCTTCCCTGGAGCGACTGGTGTCATCTCCGATAGCTGGGTCGCTAAACTCGTCAAACTCAAAGTTGGGGCCGAACTTCGCAGAGCATGCTGAGTGGACTCTCGTCAAGATGGCGTCACGCGGGGACGAGATGTCAATCATCCAAACTCTCTTGCTGCTCAAATTCCAGCGATATGTAAAACACAAAGTTGTAGCGAGCTTTACCGAGAGTGCGAAAGCAACACCGTGGGGCCAGCTGATTGAAAGGCTGCACTGATGACGTCGAGCCCACGTGTCCCTACATCCCTACGCTGCGCTAGAGTCAATGCTGTATATATTGTCCCTAGGCAGGATGTGAATACTCTGAACTTTCTCGTCGCGAGATCGTCGTTTGTGGAAGCTATTGGTGATGAAAAAGTGACATTTCAGAATTTTGGGAAGGAGTTTTTTGGGGGTCAAAAATCTTCGTTTCGGATTCGAGGCGAAGTTTGAATTTTGTGATATTGTGGAGCCATGCGCGCCACTGTCAACAAAGCTACCGGGGGTCACCCAGAGGCGGTTTATGTAGTGACGCCAGTAGTGTGTGAGCGATGAGGAGGCGTCGGGGGATGGCGAGGAAAAACAGAGGGAAGGAAAATAAAAAGTGGTATACGACCAGCACACACCCACACACGCACAGACACAGACACACATAAACACACACACACATACATATAGGGGTCAGGAAGTGCCGTAGAAAATGTTCGGGAGCAAAGGGGGCGGGGGGGGGGGGGGGGGGGGGGGGTGGATGGTAATGAAGAAGCAGGATATCTCTTCTTCCGAATTTTTTTAGTATACCTTTCTGAAATGTATGGGCAGAATATAGGAATGATCTGGGGCTGGAGCGATCGCCTCCCCTCCTTCCACCTTTATGCCCCTTGCCCCCCCTTTCCATGCAACTGGGAGGGGGGGGGAGGAAGGGAGGGGGGAGGACTTGCCCCCTTCTCCGTCCTTCTGTTTCGAGCTCGACGCGTCTGCTTAGAGGCGTTCTAGCTGAGCGACAACAAGGAACAACACGGCGTGCCATATTTTGGAATTAATGGTTCTAGAGGTTCTGGAATTAAAATGTTTCGCGTTCCATGAACTCACGCGCAGCCATGACAGATTTTCAAGCGAGAGGCTCGTGAAGGGCTCGTACTGTTCAGGCGCGTTCGGTGGCGTCCTTTTAGAGTTTTTATATCCTTGACGTCGTGATCAGAGTTATCAGTTGTGAATGACAAATTCAATGCTATGTGTTCGAATCTACGGTGACAAGTTTGATTGCGTTCAATAGAAGATTAGAGTCATCGCGTTCTGAAAACATCACCGTCAATATTGACAACCTGACATTACTCTTATTTCCTTTGATGAAAGCAGAACTAATCCCAGACTGACTAATCTGAGGAAGCCGAACGCACCGACGTTTTTGCTAGCCTACGTAGCCAATATTCGTTAATTAAAAAAAAAAGCAGCAAGATGATTTTATCCCGCAGAGGGGGGGGGGGGGGGGGCGGGGGGGGGGGGGGGGGGACAACTGCCTAAAGCCCCTGTGATGTTTCAAAAGTCGCGCAAGGTTCGTCGATGAGGAGGCACGTGTAACGTGCAGCCCTCGGGAAGATTCTGGCGGCACAGCGCAGCACTGAGCTGGATTTCAGATGCCATGAATTTCCCAGAAGTGGCGCGCGGCACGTGCCTCGAGCATTTCCGCAACAATGTCGATAAGAAGGCCCAAGAACCAATTAGAAAGTTACAATAAACCAAGCTCTGGGTTTCTTTTGTTGTCAATGATTAGAATCTCGAGAACGCAACATGCACAGACGGACAACGAGCATGACGTATCGAGTGCTCGTCGCCTGTGGAAATCGCGTTTACCAGTCAAACCGCTTTGATTACTTTTGCTTCGCCATTTTCCGGACGCACATCGGAGATTGCAGTATTCAGTCCCCCACTTGTTCTGCAGTATTGTGGAGGCACATGGGCATTCCAGTTTAGAGCGAGTGTTTTGCGGATATATGTTGTAACTTACAGTTCGGAAGAACGCAGGGCTTAGAGTCCGGATCATCTTATAACTTACAATTCGAAAGAACGCAGGGCTGAGAGTGCGGACCATCTTATTATCGCTCTGGAGCAAGTGAGATGGCGGTGTTGGTCGAAAAGAAGGCCAAAAAATGAAATCACGATGCAAGCAGCGTAAACATCATAAACTGCTCTCTGCGTTTCTTAAACGATCAACAACTATAGATGCGCGGACATATTTAACACTGGTCCTTATGTAATATCAGTCTTTCCTTACATCGAAACCCAAAAACTAAATTCGGGTTACAGGGATCAGGGTAGGCGATGTTCTGGCATCGGTGGCAACCTCTTGTTCAACGCGGTGCCCATGAGGCTGTTTGCAGCTTCGGCTGCGGCAGCGTCCGTTTTGCCAAGGTCCGTAGTTGAAGCATCAGCTGTAAAAACACTAGATAAACAGCACAAAAACAAATCAACCCCAAGAACATAAGAAGCCTTACAAGCGTAATAAGCGAAAGAAGCTGTCGGATATCTTTATTTGCTAAAAAAAAAGGTGATATTCGAAACGTGCAAGCAAGCGCCATGTGTTCGTGTCATTTTTGATTTCTGCACTCTCTGGGTTATATTATGCCTGTAATCGTATCAGCTCGTTTCTGCTCTATTCGCCCGGAGGATTCCTTCGGCAGCTGGTTTAGTGATTGGGCATAACATCTGCACCCTCCACAAATTGTCCACTTTCTGAAAAAATCTTCCAACCCGTTTTAGCCACAGCTGGAATGTTTCTCCCACGTATGATAAATTACGGGGTCGCCCCGTGACCTGCGCCTATGGTCACATCACGTGACCACCGTCTGCTAACTTTGGCGGGCAAGACGACGTCGCCAAATATAGGGAATTTGCATCGCGCGAAATTTAGCGGGACATTAGCCCATTAAATTTAGCGGCGAACGTCACATCTATCTGGCATGCTTATGGTGCTTTTTTTTGTTGGTGTGTTTTCAATATATCATGCCTATAGTGCATTCATTCTACAGTATGTAAGCTAACGATTTAGAGGCCCCTTAGAGGGCCCGCAAAAATTAGATTCTTAAGGTATCGCGCTGTGATTTACTACAGAGCTTCAAGGAGGTAGCAGAAGTTTACAGTAAAAACACAAGAAATAAACCTACCTCGTCGAAAAGAAGACGGAAAAAACTGTTCTAGGAAATCTACGCCGCCACTTCGCAGATTGATATTTCCACAATCAAAATAAAGCAAGTTGGAATATTTTGAAATCTTTGTCTTAATTTTATTCACCCAACGATGCTGCAAATAACACGTGAGCTCGTAGAGCAATTGAAAGAGTAACAGATGTTGCTCCTAGAAGTAATGGCAATTTTATTTTGGAGTTGAGCATTGAAGTCATATAATCAAATTACTGTATACAGTAATTTGACTATATTACTATTGATTGATTGTAATTTTAATCAATTGCTTTTTATAAATAATGTTCACAAGAGTGATGAACGCATCAGAATTGACCCTGCTGAGAGCGCCAGGGGCGCGCCCTCACGGCTCGCAACTACAGGAGTCATAAACTTGCCTGGATGAGAAAACAATGGACCTTTTCCACATACCGACGGCACCAGGTGGTGGCTGCACGAACTAAAAATCGAGGAAGTGACCTACCTGCGCTACCAGTCGATAATGGGAGCTACGCTACCAGTTGCTTCGCTCTCTGAGCAGCGGCGCCTGCCCAACGCGACTTTAAAGAGTGGAGTCCACCCAAACGTTGTGTTTTCCTTTCCGTCGACGTTCTTTTTCTTTCTTTTTTTTTGTGTAACACAATTATATATATGCTGCAGTTACGTGTTCTACTCGCTGATATACAGCCTCCTTCCGAATTTCCTCGATTTTTCGTTCCGACTTCCGCCGCTTGGCATCGGGCGCTCGCGCGTGCGCAGAACGCTTCTCGGAAAAGGTCCATTTGAAAACGCCGCAGTCGCATTACTTCAACTGGAAAAAAAATGATAGGAAATCGTTCAAACAGAAGAACTGCTTCGCAGAGAATCGAAAACACTTGTGGGATTTCTAAACAAAAAGAGAAGTAAACCAAAACAAAATTGCTTAGCATTCTGCATTTATGGCTTTAATCACTGTGGGGAGAGTTATTTACATTAAAAAAAGAAGAAACATTATTCGTGAACCTTATTCGTGACCTTTACACATTTGTCTTGATGCAGGAAAATAAAAAATCGCCTCGAACAACAAAAATTAGAAAATGTCGCCACGCCTTCATCCTTAATCGAAAATTTTCGATATAAATTGAACCATAAACGCGTAGAGACGCGAACTTGACGCTAGCGCCGGTAAGTCAAAACTGTGAAGTTTTGGTACTTTCTCCCAATGCCGTAATTTCAGTGTCGCTCCGGGATTGAGAAACGTTTATTTCTTTTAAGAACAATATTTGTTTAATGCACGAATATATTTATGGTAGGGTATATTTTTCTCAAATTGACACTGATTTGTGAAGTTAATTAAATTTCGAAGTGTCTGGGCAAAACAACGAGTTATACAAGATGTTTTCTGGGAATGTTTTGAATATCTATAAAGATGCCGTTACTGGACAATTCTCAAGTCGAGAATTCAATGACACATATAGCCTGATTTTATTAGCAACAGTGTCAGTCAAGAATGCACAAATTAAAAATATAGAGACGCGTCACGATATCATACAACTTCCAAGACACATCCTCTGAAGTCAAAACAACTTTTGAAGGTATGAGGAAATTTCCAAACATTTAGTAGAAATTACTGATTAGATAATGCAAAAAGATCCAAACGGCATTTTGTTAAGCGTCTAAAATAATATTAATATTGGCAATTTAGGAAAAAGAAACTCGAAAAATGTTAGCTTATTTCATAATCAGCGTATTTAATTGTGTTTTTTTTTTTTCAGGACGACGATTCCCGTGATAGCGTTTCACGTATTAACGTAAAAATGCAACTGGCTCTCTTCATGGTTCTTGTGACCTTTACCTACCTGTCTTGTGGTAAGCCTTTACAGTATACGAATGTTTTACTACTTAGCGATATGAGCTATGCTCTAAGAAATTTTGAGTCTACTTTCCCGCAGTGCACATGAAAGATCCAATCACAAACACTGAATGCGACGTTTAATCCTGCGCAGTGTGACAGCGCAGACTGTATTTTAGGTCTAATTATATTTTTAGCATTGTCTACAGAACCGGGGCCTGATTGGTTCGTTTCCAGGAGGAGAACTGCTCGTACATTTATTGCGGCGCTTTATACTCTATACGTATCGATGTTCTTAAGTGATGGTTGTTTGGAAACTGATTCCTCTGCAAGGCCGTTACATATTGCATCGACTGGGTCTCCTGAGTGCTTCGCAGGGAAAGTATAGTCGCCCCAGATTTCTTAGAGTGTATAAAGAAGGAAGGAGCAGTCCAGGGAAGCTCACTAATAAGATTGATTATGTTGTACACTGTCAATCAATAACCCTCGGCAAGCATGTTTACTAAATATGTATTTTTTAATCCGTGCTTTTGTGATTATAGATTTTAGTGAAAACGAAACTTTGTTTTAAATTACTTTGCAGAAAATTAAAGATGTGTTCGTTTCTAGAGCACTGAAAATTACTCTTAAAAATATTTGAGTTGCAGCTACAATTTACTGTAACTTAAATGTAACTGAGCTACAAACACAGCTGAACTTTCTAGATGCTCTCGTTACACAGTTACAGTTGCGCGTAGAAACACTTCTGCTACATCTTAGTTACTTGTAAAATATAGAGTATATATGTAACGACGCTATATTGGCTTGAGGATTGTTGACCTACCTCTTAGTTTCCAGGGAAGGATAAATAGCAGTTAACTAAGACAAAAAATAATCTTTAGGTCAGCTGCTATATTGCTTAAAGGGGCTGTGCAACAATTTTCAGACTTTGGCCAATTAACTGCGGAAATTAATTTGCGTCACCTATGGAACGAAAAGCAGAAAACCGTATTTTCTTGCGAACGCTAGCTAGTTCTTATTAAAAAAAAAAAAGATGAAAGAAATCGAAGGTCAAAGGGCCTGTCTACTCTCCACGTCGACTTTCGAGTGACGTACTCTGGGGGTTTTCCCCTTGTGTCCTCTCTTCAGAGACCAGCCGCTTCCTCCGCGATTGTCGACTTTTAAAGGGTTAGCCTCGTTGAAGTTCGCGGCGAGCGATCGACACAAAGGACGGTCTACCACCGGGCTGACGGCGAGTGTAGCAGCGGACGGGGACAGGTTTTGTTGACTTCCGCGTATCCCCCAGAGACGGTGTCATTTTAGTTCCCGTAACCCCGACAGGCGGCTGCAGATTGGCTAATACTTCGTTTTTTGCTTTGCAATTACTCAGCATAATAGCAGTTTGTCGGGGAAAGGTGACGCGTTCTTGGTCACTTGGGCTTGCGTAAAAAATGTAAAAAATGCAAACTGCCAATTATTGCAACATCAAAATCATTGCACTGCCCCTTTAAAATTGCATTCTAGCAAATTTTACTCAGATCTCGTCAATGTGTGATGCATGGCGTAAGAAATTATTTATTTATTTATTTATTTATTTATTTCCAAAACCCTACAGCGCCCGTAAGAGTGTTGTAGGGTACCTAAAGGTCAGCAGGGTTGGGCATCTGCCAAGCTCCTGTTTCGCCAACAAACTGCCAAACGATTGCACGTGTTGACACAATTAGTCACCTAACACGACGCTCCGCCGCATCACCCTGTGCCTTCTTCAGCGTGTCGTCGCAAGAAGAAAGACGTAGAAGGGTCCACATGCGACGCTTTGTAAAGACGCGGCAACACATATCGGGAAGGCAGATATTGAACGCGAGCGTCGGCTGCTTTTTTACAAAAAAAAAAACAACAAAAAAAAAACAATACGGCGTATGGTCGGTTTTATCCATATATTCAAATACAAATTAAAACATCAATTTTTTTTTTCATATGACAGAAGTATAGGAATGTCTAATACGCGAGCTTAAGCCCTGGCTTTGTTGGAATGTCTTAAAAAGGTGTTTCGCAATAGTCAAGTTAAAGGCGCTGTACGTCACTTAGAGGAAATTCGTCGGCGACACCAACACAGCATGTTCTCCAAGAAAAGTGGTCAGCTCGGTGGTCGTTCACTGTGTTGCCTCGCATTCTTGTTATATTTTGCGAACAGCAGCACAACATTGATGACAGTGAGGATGTTTTGTTTGCGTAACAACATTAGTCGACTAAAACGAGAAACAGGCCGTACCGGAGGACACAACGTGCCCGGATCGGTGGCTGTGCGAAGTTTGGGCCAGAAGAATACCAACATATATAGCTTGGTTTAAAGTGCGCCCTGCCAGTAGATTTCTTTTTTGCCTGTGAATTTACCTAAATAAAAACTTGGCCAACAATATTTAACTGTAATCAAACCTTATCTACGGTCGAAATATTTTGGTCTTTTACACGAAAATTTGGAAGACGAAACTCGAACATTTTTCCACTAAGACACTAACTAGTGATCAAAATATAATTTCGACAGTGATTGGATGACGTCATTGCTAAAGAGAAAAATAAAATTCCTAGTCACTTATCAAAAAACATTACCTACAAAAAAAAAAAAAAAGCAAACCAACTTGCGATGCCAGCTTATTCATGACAGGAGCATGACCACATTTGACCATCAGTTCCGAGACCTAAAAATAATGACTTTTTAATAACAAAGTAGGAAAGAAAGGCAATCATCAAATAACTTTGAAGATTAGGCTCATTGGTAGCTTAGCCACGTGTTACCGTAAAAACGCCGAGTTTAAATATCGAGATAGAAACATCATTGTTGTGTAAGGCTGGTGCAAATTTTAGGCAATGAAGAAACGCTAAGATCTGAGTTAAGAAATATAACAGACTGAGTTAACCTAGTGTAAACAAAAACTGATACCTATCGGATGCTTTTATGAACTTGAGGTGTCGTTCATAAGAAGAAATAACGCTTTCAAGATGTATATGAGCGTATTCAAACCCTCTAGACTTTACTACGAAGTGGTTCCTCAGAAAGGTTGCCTTGTACGTCTCGCACACACTGCCATAGTGGTTTGTGATGAAAAGAAAGGCAAATAAATAACCTATTTGTTTATTCTTGATTCTCCTACATTTGGATAAACCTTACAATATACTCGTTTCAGAGGTACAATCTGTATTTAGCTGGTATGTTGATAGAGGTATGGGACACATGCCACCAGATTGTCGAATTGCACTTGTAGATCAAATGCAGAAGAAATGCACGGATCAAGCCAGAGGGGTCACGGTAAGTAGTCTACCAAGCTAAAAAAATATATATTAATTACTTTCACATTACTAAACATAATTGCGCTGGAAAAAGTTCAGTGGGACCCAACTTGTCCTTCTCCATCGAAATTTGAACAGAAGTCGATTGAAGCGTCAAACTTTTTGCATAATGCGGCGCCTGTCCGCAAGAGCAGCTGAGAGAGCACCCGCAACATGCGAACGGATGGGGGAGCATCAATTAACTGGTCACAAAACTGGGGAGGAGAAATTGTCCAGATACCGCGTTCCGTTCGTTAACTACCTACGCTGACGAACTAACCACATCTATTAATGTTGGTTACATGTCAGTAGAATCTTTAATGTTAAAAACAAATAAATGATCTTTATATGCAATAAATTACCATAGAAACATATGAAGCTCTACACTGAAAAATACTCTGTCCTCTGTCATTTTTTGTCAATAATATTTTTTTATATATAAGAAAAAGCGAATATTTAAAATTGATACGGCGGTCGCGTTTCCAAGTGAAAACTGAATTATTTAGCAGAACTAAACCAGTCCAGCTGCCAAAGTAATGTATCCTGCATTAATTTTGAATACATGCCGCAGAATACATATTTCTGAGTAGTCATTATTAACATAGACAGTATATACAGAATTTTGCGGAGTTTCCTTAAAGGTATTTAATTTAGTTTCAGGTGCTTCTGCGTGTTTTGTTTAACGTTATTATCTCCCCCCCCCCCCCCCCCCCCTCTTTCGAAATAGAAAAAAAAACAACAACGAAGGAATAAATAAATGAATGAATCAATAAGATTATTCGAGCGTGATATTGCGAAGAAACGAGAGCGTGACTGTAAAAAAAGGTTACTGAGCAGGTCATAATGCCAAGCGCGTCTCCCATAAACCGCGTCCGTGGCCAATTTGTTGATTCCTTGTTCGGCTGCCGAGCAGTGTGGCCGCACGCATGGCGAGCTCCGATCGAGCTTTGATGACGGCCGTCTACGGCCGTGGTGACATGGATTTTCGCCCACCCGTGGACTATCAAATTCTGCTCCCGACGCTGCCGGTTTTTCAGTTTTAACCGAACTTTGTTACGGAACCCAAGCTATGAGGTTCAAATGTATTCACAGTATTTTGCTCAATATTTTGCGAAACGCCTTTTTTTTCAGCTTCAATCATTCTACGGCTGCAAGTTTGTATGTAAAAGAAGTGATGTAATTGCTGCTGTCGGAATCGCACAAACATGGACAATAAATTTGAAGAACGGCATTCCTTGCGGACCACTCGGTGAGGTAAGTGTCGTCAGAGCTCCTGGGAATCAAAGTCCCAAGAGCTAAGAAACCCGTGCGAATTCGGGTTTATTCATTAAACTACTTATGAAGGACCTGAATTCATTCGAAGAAAAACGATAAGTTTAGCGTACGAGTGATCAACCACTTCCATGCGGGATTGAATGACGTCCAAGGTAGAATGGGAAGGGACTTGGCCACAAACATCGAGCAGGGTGTGAAGCAGTTGAGGATCACAACCTTTGTGATGGTGCACATTGTAATGTGCACCGCCCCGGAGGTCAGGGGCCGAGGAGTGGGTACAAAGAAGGCAACCCAGGAGTCTAACACGACAATCAAGAGGCTGAGCTCTCAGAACGGATATGAGGTCATGAGTGTAAACGACAATACCGCATTAAATAAGTCCCATGAATCTTCGGCTATCATCGGACTATGAATGAAAGTGCGCCTTACTTACTTAGACGGGAGGAAGTGTGGTTATTACAAAATGTTAGTAGAGCATTTTCAAGCCTAAATAACGCTACAGGTTTTGGCCACCATGTGCTTTCTCGCGCTACGTTACCTTATCTTGTAGTATGATCCCCCATACGCTCCACGATACGCACGTGCTCTGCTTCAAATAAATCCAAAGACCCCCCCTAGAAACTACAAAATACATTATTTCTACAAGTACGATCATATTGTGATGCCATATTATGTGTTCCGAAAACGATCAGATAAGTTCAAATATTTAATAACATACTGCAAATCCCGAGCCATATGATCACTTTTTTATGCTTTCTTTTTTATAGACATGCCAGCAGGGAGAATGCGAAGCCATCGACACATGTGAAACTATCTTCGTCTAGAAAACTGCTGAAAAGAACACATCAGAAATCTGCAGAATGCAAACCGATGCCGTTAACGACGTCTGTATAACACGAGAGCGCCGACGAGAGAGCGCGCGGCACGAGAGCACAGCTACACGAGAGCGCTTGTGCACGGCGCAGGAACTTTTTGAGGATGGCTCATAGATCATGCAAACGAGAGCCTGGAAACACGAGTCATCGCAACATCCGTGGTTCGAATGCCGCCTGTCCAAGTTTTCTCCTTGAACTCATTGCCGCGCGCCATTCGAAGCGCGGATTTCGCGGTGACTCTCGTTCGAATCTGTGGGCAGACTGTCTTTTGTACGATGTCTAAGCAGTGTGACACCGGCTTAAGGCGGCATTATTTGATAAGAAAGGCAACATTGAAGGCTTCGTGTTCTTCAGGATGAATGGCAATCCTAAAACAATTTTTTTTGTTTTTTTTTAATATTGGGTATGTAAAACGATGGGTATCATGACCTCTTCTATATTCAAAATAAAATCTCGTTTTTTACCACTCAAAATTAATTTTGCGGGACTTGCTGCCGATTCCAAGTTTGACTTAAAAGTTCCCGTGAAGTAACCCCAGGCTATGCGCATCACCAGCCTTCAAACCCAACTACAAACAAATAGCCTAATTTGGGTATTACTGAAGTACTGCTCAAAAAGGATTCCGCACGAAATGATCCAGGACAGAATTGCGCACCGAGATTAATCGTAAAGCCTATGGTTGGATTCGGCCATCTTTACAACGCGTCGTACCATTACGTCCTGCAAATGGCTGCTGTCGCCAGTTAAAAAAACGAGAAAAAAAAACGGACAATGATCCTGATGTTGCAATTTTCTCCTTCGGCCCCGATACCGCTCTCTTGACGCGCGCTCTCGCGTCGCGGCGCTTTCGTTTTGTGCGCTCTCGAGGCGCCAGAGACTATCCATGCTGCTTGAAGCTGAGCCTGGCGTAATACTAGCCACGTCTCAAATATAAGAGCTAATATGGCGTATTGCTTTTCATCGATGTCAGACAAGTCTGAAATAAACAATTGGAAGACCGACTTTTGCTCGTTCCTTTTATTTGTACAGTGCACTCCACTTGTGATTCCCATGAAGACTTCCAGTATTGAACTACCGATCCCAATGTAAGAAAAAATTATTGCATAACGGTGGTCAGCACATTTGAAGGATCACCGCGGCTTATTCGAATTGTTTTTATTGATGCAGTGAGCTAATAAACATCCCAAACGGTTTTAGAATACAGGCCTGTCTACTTGCACACAATACACTCAGTGCGCCGATCAGTGTGATAGCCCCCACCTAATAATGGGGGAGGGGGAGGTCTTGCTTTATATATGATAAATGTGAAGTTCGCCTCAAATACTTGGCGCTGTCCTCACTAATCATGAGAAGGTAGAGGGTTAGAGCGGAAACGAGTCGCCCCGAAGTCGAAGCTAAGTGTGGAATGGCAGCTCTCAAAAGAACGGTCGCCATCACCAACGTCACTATAGCTGGTGACAGGTTACGGCAAGGTAGGGAGAAGGACGATGCCCAGGCTCATCTAATGAAACTAAGGATGACTTGCAAAACCTTGAGTAATTCCTTTCTAAATAATTGCAATATTTTCTACGTTTTTTTACCTAATGTTTGTTTTGCAATGACTGACAAATCTACTTACTGTTAAATAAGTTTAACAACTTTTCAAAGACCAACGGAAAGTGCCATTGTCTTTGTTTTATTTAGATGTTCAGTCAGTTCGAAGAAAGTTTTATGAACGTAGCATCCTTTTTGACAGTTTCCTATTTTTGATGTTATAACGCTAACCTAAACGTGGTATAGTCCGGCTGATGAAGTGAATAGAACAGATAATTATGCAGCCTTCAATTTAAATTGAAATAACAAACTAGGAGGAGGGGTATGTATTTATGTCAAAAGATGTCTTGAACTGTATCATTAGAGAATTTACAGCAACAAGTGACTACGGGGTCATAATTGTGTACTACAATAAGTCCGTATTTTCGCCCGTTTTCCGATCGCAAAGTAGGAATGTTTTGAACTTCCTTGAATACCTTGAAGATTTTTTAGATTTTTTTGCGAAAATACATTGACTCTTTATCTAGGTGGTGACTTCAATATAGACATGCTTACACTCTATGATTATCAGCTTTAGTTCGGGTCGATGTAGCAGTCATGTGGATTGTTTAACGTTATTTTACAGCCTACGCGTCCGTGCTGAAACGTTGCTCAATTTTTATTTTAACAAATGTTCCCCACAGCAGAGAGAGTCGCTGGCGTGGTTGAGATAATCACTAGCGGCCTCATACCAATCTTTATGTTAACCGATGTAGATTTCTACCTTAAAACATTTCGTGCTGCTCAAATGCGCTTCAGAAACATTATCACTGAAGATCTGCAACTTTTTTTATTAACTTAAATATTGAGAACTAGAGTGCGGTGATGTCCAGCGTATCGGCGAAAGAAGCATTTGATTATTTTCTTGATAAGTTTACCATGATATACGAATGTTGCTTTCCTTACCAAAGGCAAACTATTTCCAGCAAGGCACATAAACTTTGGGTTACGCCGGAAATAAGAAAAATGTTAAGAAAAATACTTTTTGTCATCGATTCGTGCATTGGAAGGACGTTGACATATTGACTGAAGTTAAGAAAGTAAGAAATAAGTGCACTAGGGCCTTAAGGCCAGCAAACAGTCATATTTTAATAATTTATTTCAAGGTCAACAAAGTTCGAATGTTGTATGGAAAAAATGTATTGTCTACTTAACATGGTTTGCATAAGGAAATAATTACAACAATAAAAATTGAAGAGATTGATGTAGCTTCGAAAGCTTTAGCTGAACATAGTTAATGCCCATTTTGTTAAACCTGCACAAAGTGTTTGCTCAATGAGTGTTTCCAAATATGTACTCAGCGTTTCTGATAGCCTACTCATTTTCCCAACCGATGAAGACGAAGTATGCTCGGTATTTAAAACCTAAAAACCGGCGAAGTTCGCAGACCGGCGAGGTTCGCGCGCCGCCGCCGCGCGAACCTCGCCGGTCTGCGCATTCCAGAGGAGTGACGTCATAGCCGCGGAAGACGCACTGGCGCCGCCGCGTGCCCAGCTGTGCGCCTCCGTTGCGCAGTAGCTAAGTCTGACGATGCAGCGAAGCCGCTTAATAACGCCTCTCATGCTTTTTTTTTTTTTTTTGCTCTAGCTTTTTTTTTTTAATGCTTTTAAGGTTGATGTATTTAGTATTTCTTCATTTAAATTGTCGTGTTGACTATATGGCTCTAGAGATTGCGACAGGTCCCCCCTCCGGCCCCTTAGCCAAAATGTTTCGAGACCCCCGGTTTAAACGCAATATTTGTTAACCACACACTGACGAGATAGCAGCTAGTTCCTCCTGCAGCAGCTCGTAATCCTGATGCGATTTTTCTTGCGATTTGATCTGTTTGAAGATTTTAATATCATCAGCGAACTGAAGCAATTTTTAATGCTTTACACAATGAAAGACATAATTGGCAAACGTATGAGACTACAAGGGTCCCAAAAGAGAACACCGAGGGACGCCAGATGATTATATATACATCTCGATAACACGCCGTTAACGCGAACGTTATTAGTGCGGTTGGAAAAATAGATGTCTGAGCCACGAACATAACGGCAAACACACTCCGTACTCCGATAGCTTCTCCACTAATAGATCATGGTTCTCAAGGTCAAAGGCTTTGCTCAAGTCAAAATAAATTGATACATGCATGGATGGATGGATGGATGGATACTAACGGCTGCACCCTTTATACCGGGGGTTAGCTTGCGCCACCCAGGGTTGGGCAGAAATACTCAAAAATGTATTTGGAAATACAAATACTGGGATACATTAAAATAGTAGCTAAAATACTGATACTGAAATATATCTGTAAAAGTGTATCGCGATACGTATCGGAAATACATTTTAAATAGAGGCAGAAAGTATTTGGAAATACAAATACAGGAATACATTTTAGGGAGGGCAGAAATACAAATACAGAAATACTGATACTGCAATACATTTTTCAAATTTGTTTGAGACGCCAAATGAGATGAAGCTTGAAGTGGAAGCTTTCGATTCTGAAATTACTTTCCCGTAGGCTTCCCGAAATCACTACCTTGAAGGTAGTGATTTCGGACGACGAGGAGTCTTCAGTGTGCTAAAAAAAAAACGTTCCATCAAAGACTGACCGCGGTCCCTTTCCTGACATCCTGTCTGTCTGAGGAGGGATGCGAAAAGACTTCGACCTCTATATAAATTCTATGTCATCCTAAATTCTATCAAAATGTCACCATGCCCCTGTTCAATAAGGACGCCCCTGTCAACATTTATCACATGACGTCATGGTGGAATGAACTGGTATTCTTTGTCTCTAGGTGGTGGCCTTGAACATGAAACTTTACCTCGCTGTTGTATGAAAGGACAATACGTGCTTTCGTTATAGGTTACCTCGTTGAAGATCATGCAGGCAGTATCATTTGGAATTTTCAAGAACTAGTGGACCACCTGAAGCATCCTGGAACACATGTCTTCTGTTACGGTTGATAAAACGATACGGTGGCATCCCTGTTGTGAAGGTCCTTCCTACCGAACCTCCGCCACCGACGCATGGATTGCAGTCCTCAAGTTAAGTCTTGCATACTTCAGATAGAGACCTCGTGGGTTGCGACCTGATATTTGCTGGCACAGGTGCGAGCTCTCCGAGAAACAGCGCGCTCGAGACGAGTCGCAGGTGTACGAAGTCTGAGTCGGCACAGCGAGGCCACGTCTGACCTCCGTCCTGGGTTTCGGATCACCAGAGCAGCGGGTCACTTTCACGTCGGCTGATGACGTACAGTGTACTCAACTGTTAAACATAACGCGGGAACGGTGGCCGGAGAGACTGCATGTGTCATCTACCGGCTCACTCTGGAAGCTTATGCCGCTGTTGTTTTCTGGAGTAACACTCCCAGCCCCGAAACAATCACCGATAA